GTTTTTACCCGAGGGTGTATTCAACATTGGTTCTGATGTTTATTGTACCGAATGTCAAGGGTGCAGCTCGTTAAAAGAGGAGTTGTTTGGGCATTAATAAAGAACCCTCCTTGGTTATGTATGTTCACATCGATTCAACACGTAGGCAATTACCGTCAAATTGAACTGTTGCACCTGCTCAATCAGTATAATGATAAATAAAAATAAACAAGCTCTATAATGTGAAATGAATAATATAAAAATAATGTACAACTTTAAATTCAGTTTTGCGCATTCTGCAGCCAGTGCACCATTATGAAAGCACAACCCAGCTGCTTTAGTTGTTTCGATTGCACGCCACCATGCGCTCACACATGTGTGTCCAACAGATAAATTTACCACCGACCGCTGACACGCGGCCAAATAGCATATTCTAGTATTGAGGTACGCCGCACAAAATCCGCTCTCACTTCTCTTCTAATATCTCACCATGCCAGTTGGTTCCAATAATGGCATACGGTTGGGCTATGACCACCTTGTTCCGTTTTCGGCACCACTAACACAAATAAATGAAGCTAGTTCTCGGGACGAAACTCGGGACGAAATGGTCGTCGGTAGATCAAGCAAAATAGCTCCCTGGTTCAGTTATTTTCAAAGCCACGGACAAAATCACCATCCAACGGAACGGTAGCTATCATTTAACGAAAAAGCAATTTGGCCGACTGCCAAATAGATGGCAAAACGGTCACACTCCGGCTGAAATATGGCGTGGAAAAATAACGTCCGTCGTTGTCGTCTTGGGATGGAGTTGCGCTACCACCACCGGTCAACATGAATGTCTAACATGTACGAAGGCGCTATTAACACTATTTGACTGACTACCATGCACCTCCATAATTGCGTCACACTATTGCATGCTGTTATACCTATAGTATACGTCCAGTGCTGAGTTCTGTCGTTGTCACTGAAAGATTCCACGCGATATTGACAAGCTTATTGTTGACATTGTCACTGAAAGACTCTCGCATAAACCTTTGTCAACATCGTTGACAAAGATTCAGTTGGTAATAAAAAGTGTAACTTTTAATCACATTATTTCGATACATCACATTATTCATACAGTTGAGGACGCAGATACATGTTTACTCTGACGGATCTATGTATTCATTTTCCAACTGTGGACTGTGTAGTCATTAACAAATCACATGGCATCCTTTAAAGATCATTTTCATTTCGTGATAGTGACGAAAGCTGTTACACCGGGAATTGTATGTTTTGCAGTTTTCTACGGCATTTCTTGAATATTACGTATGGTAAATAAGGCAAACGGCAGACAGTGACTGTTTTCGGCAGCCCTGTAATGGTGGCTACTTATGATTACGCATTTATGTAATCAGATATTTTCTTAGATTTAGAATTTTTATAGGCGCAAAGCTTCATAATCAAAGCGAAATTTTTGTTTCTAAAGGCGCAGCAACTTTCTACTTAAATTGATTTTGTATAATTTTTCAACGACCAAAATTGAAACGTAAATCACACTGGATTTTATCTTTTTTTTTCTTTATAAAGAGACTTTCAGCCCTGGGATATCTGGATTTTATCAACAGAACACCGGTGTAGGTATGCATTAAAATGATTTCTTAGCCTTCAAGCTTCAATTAATTTTCTCGACTGATCAAACGCATTTTACCAGGTCTTCATAACTTCATAACGAGCCATTTTAGTGAATTTGTTTCTTGGGCTATGTTTTAGTCAAAAAATATTATAACTAAACTTTTACTAAACTGCTATTCAATATATAGCTTTTAAATAATTCATTTTGAAGGCTTGGTATCTTGCACAAAGTTATTTATTAGCCAAAAATATAAAACTCTTACCAAGACGTCAAAATCACAGCAACCGTGATTTGCTTTATTAATGAGATTTTTAGCCGTAGGTTAGTTCATATCAGCTCTCCTTCAATTGCGAGTTAGGGATAGTTTACAGTATAGCCTTTGATAACCCAATTTCTTAACCTATTTTGAATAAACAGCTTTTCATAGATCAGGAATACTACATACTTAGAAATACCTAATCTTACATGTGACGGAATCTATCTTTGACATAAAGGATGAGACGTAAACAAACATGTCATGTAAAATTAAGGGCTCCGAGACTGAAAAGTTCGAAGGTACGCTTGATTGAGCTGAATTTCGCGTCTATTATGACTCAATTTTATGTAAAAATTGACGCTTGTATATGTCAGTCTCAGATCACCTAAATTTACATCAATTTTTCTAGGTGTGTAGTTTTAGATTTTGCGAAAGCTGTCCATAATTCCGGTCTTATAATGAAAAAAAAACTTGAAAAATATTTGGGGTCAGCATGGTTTCAATAAAAGAAAATTCTGACCTCAAGCTTTCTGAATTTTAGAAGTTAAGCTCAAAATACACCAAGCCTTTGAAGAATCAAAAGCAAGATACAATTCCTGATCTATTGAATTTTTTTTCATCAAAATCGATCAAGAAATGACGAAATGAGTGCAATTTCTAATTTTCAGAGTTAACAGTTTGGGTATGCAAGGGTTAACATCGAGGATGTTTTTAAACGTTTGTCGGACCGTATGAACCTCATTAAATCTCGATAAATTTTTCAAAGGGACGTATCAGCTTTTAAAAAAAATAATGCATTTGATCGTCGGTTTGGCGTAACTGGTAGCTCGCCCACACATGCTAACACTACCATCAGATAGGGAAATTTTCCCCTACCTGTGTGGTGTTAGTAAGCGTGTGTGAACTAGCAGTTACGCCAAATCGACCTGTGATCTTGACTTTTTTACCTACTTAAAGGGGTTAGATTTTGATAAGTTCTTTAGTGGGAATGACACTGATGAAGACTGCACATTGTAGTCGAAATACGTATCTGTCATGGATACCAAACATTATTAAGTGGAATTAAATGGAAGATAACCTATTTTGCTGTTTTATTTAAATGTTTTGTTTTGACGTAGGACTAGGTCTGTGTTTTCTATATGGAGGTACACTTTGTGAAAACTGAAAATGGAACATATAACAAAATTATGGAAAATTTTGAACGTTAGTAACTTAGCTGCCCCCTGGACCAATTTCAATAATTTTAGCATCAAACGATCAGATATATTTTTACGCATCTGTAAAATTTAAGACTTTATCATTTTTCAAAATGTCACTATTGAAAATTGCACGAATGGCAACTGGTTTTTATAATTAAAATTATCACCGATTGCCTGCGAAAAACGATTTCCCTAACAGAGATTTCATAGTTAAATTACATCCGGTCTAACCAAACGGTGTTTATTCAATCACCGCGTGGTGAGTGGTGGTGTTCTCCAGTGCACAACGAAAAGCTGCCTGCAAGCAGCGAGCTGCAGCTCACATGAGCATCCATAGAAAGAGAAAGAAGCTGCACCGCTATTGATAGGAATCAGGTGCTCTTCGTGAGTTGCTGTGGGCCATCTATGTCAAGCGCGTCATACTAAAGAGTATACAGAGAGAACCCCGCTCAAATTCATATTCCTACACAAAACACAAGCTCCTGCTGCAGTTAACAAATAAGATTTATTATATAAGACCACGTAGTCCAACGTCACCATTGCGTACAACCCCATATGGCTGTCCCTTGTAGTTTTTTTTCTTCAATATATTAAAAATGAAGCATCACAACTTCGACAAACATCCATAAAAACTACTACTTTCATGATAAAAAAAACATCGTAAAATGTAAATAACCATTTCCGCTTCCTTGTAAATTAATAAATTCAAAATCTTGAAAACCGAGGCCGCTGCGATTTTAAAATCTTGCTAAGAGTTTTATATTTTCGACTAATAAACAACTTGGTGGAAGAGTTCAAGTCTCCAGAATTAATTATTAAGAAGTTACATTTTGAATAGCAGTTCAGTACAAGTTTGGTACAACAGTTTTATTACCTTAAGATGGCGTTTTTATAACAAAATGGCAACAACACAAATTACTAAAATGACTCGTTTTGGATTTATTAGTTTTGTTTGGATATATTGCATTCCTAGACCACTTAAATATGATGTTTTTGGCGCATGAAATAGAGCACAAGAATCGCATAAATATGGCTACTATGACACACTGCACTAAACAGTGTTGCTGACAAAGCTAAACAACAATGTTTTAATATTACCAATCTCTTTAATAATTAATAATTATTTTATTTGCCGTTTGACTGTTACATCATTTCTAGCAAAGTAGTAGCTGAGGAAGTTTCCTACAAGAACAGTTATCGAACTTTCTCGCAGAGCAATATGGAAAACGGGTAGAAGGCAATGAACATAAAACTTGGATTTCCTATAGTTATTCCAATACAATCTTCTTTAGGATGCTAATCGGGACCGCAAGCTTAGAACCATTTAATCGTCGTTTCCCAAGAAAAAAAGTAAAATGGAACTAACAATGTCCCAAATGCCAAGGTATAAATAGAAATCAGTTAAAATTAGCGGTTTCCTTATAGGTGCTGGAGGGTTAAATACAAAAATTATTATCGACAACACGTTTCTATTCGGCTCCCTTTCCATTTTAAATGCGTGTCAGATAGCTATTCTATTACTGGCAATTTGAAATCAGTAGCATTTTTAGGTACTATTTTTTTGAATTTCAAGAAAAAAAAAATTGGCAAAATGCATTTGCCCCGTCGTGAGATAGTTAATCAGATTGAAGCTTAAATACTCAGAAATCGTGTAGATACATTTAGTCAAGTATTGAGGTGTGAAAATTCAAACAATTTTGTTGTTTTTATCTTGTTTGCCGAAAACAGTCATCACCTGCCGAAGTCATCATTTACCCTAGTTTTTGTCGGCCTGTGTTATTGCTAGTGGATCGATTCTGGAATATATCTAATCGCCACATTTTGTTTTGCCAGCAGCTCGCCGCAGTAGTGTGAACAGGATATCTTCATGATAAAATCGCCGGTCGGTACTGGCAGGGCACGGCCATCAAGGGAAGCATAAATATATGGCGACAAGGTTGAACAAACTTACGCTTGGCACATCCTTTCAGTATTCCAATCAGCACTACGTAATCTTTCTCGCAGCTGCACGTGTTGGAGGAAGGATCACAATACACGTGATGCAGCTTGGCGTGGCACGTAAATTCACACGGGGCTCCGACGTACACTCCTTTGGCTGTGGATGATGAAGAAAGGGTGAAGAAAAGAAGAATTAATACAACGCCGATGAAGTATACGATAGGAAATAAATGTAGCAGCAAAAATCAATCAATCAATCTGAATAATGTCATTTTAAATCCCTCATTTTTCGCCAACCATTTGGCCGTTGTTACCGGAAGGCAATAAAGTGCAACTGGATTTAATTCAAATTCGATGAGACTTTTTACGACAGTTTCACAATGAACGATGATGCAGAAACGGTGTTTAAAAAATATTGGCCCGTAGCCAGATATCCATAGTTGATGGGCTGTGAAGTTTATTATCGTTGTTTATAGATTATTATCCGTCATTATACGTTTGAATCTCCCGTACAGCAGGCATAACCGTGAAGATATAACCTATTATTCAAGGACTAGATTCAGCAATGTTACCACTAAATAGGTTGTCAGAAGATAAGCCCATTAGAGTGGTTCATTAAAAAATATGGTTGATATAGCAACAAGCCTTAGCAAGCCTTAACCTTTTTGCGCAACCCTTAAACTTCTACAAGCAAACCAAAAATCTATTACAATGAATGTTAGTTCCGTTTCCTATCATCCTCTGTTCATGAACATCGCAACGAATGTTAGAAGATGACCATGCAGGCGATGTAATGGTTTTTTGTCTTTTTTATTTCGTGTTCTACCTACGCTTTCGACTATACCATTCAATCCGAAGGAAGGCGTGATCAGAGATTTTATGCCTCAGAAAATCCCGCTGGCGTCGACTGCGAATGAAGCCAGGCTTTTTTAGAGTGAGAGGTAATAACGCTTACCACTGGCTTGACACAATTGAAAAAATTATCCTATTGTTGTTAAAATAAGTATAAAAAATGCATTTTGTGATTTAAATTTCGAAAAAATACATACTGCCTCAAATACTTTGCTTATTATTTCTCCTATTAAGTTGAACTCAAAACTTGCCGAAAAAAGTATTAAGCTAAGTAGTCAAATAATAACGTAGGGACTGAAAGTGTGTGTCCGTTTTATAAACTGATACTTTTAAATTGCAGGAACGTTCATCAATCGCCAACCGCCCCCTCATTTAAGAGTATACAAATTTGTTTTTCTACAAGTTTTGTCAAGTCTCAGAATTTTAACAACTGTTTATGTTCAAGATCTTGTATCAAGGTTACAGATCCGTTCTCTTAAAACAATTTAAAGATTATACAGCCTTCACTGTAATTTAATTTCGTTCCAAATCTCTGGAAGTGGCAAACTGTGAGACGGAAGAGGAGTCAACTTAGCGATTACAGAACCATAAATCAGGTCAAGGAAGCAACCATTTTGAATCAGTTTCGTGGGGAGTTAAGAATGAAATTAAAGTCTAAGTCTAAACATTTGACATTTCTTAAATCGACAGCTACTATTGGTATTAGTCGCTTTAAGCGACGTGAGAGTCTGTTGCTGCCTTGTAGCTAGTGGTAGTGCGTTCCAGTCGGACGCTCCGAATATTAGGACACTTTTTCGGGAACTTGTGGTGTGATGCGGTAGGACAAAGGATCTAGCTCGCTCGTTCCGACCTTTAAAGGGCGAACACGAAATTATTGCGACACCGAAAATGTCATGCCAATTTTCTTATAATGTTTAGAATCAAACCAAAATTTTAGGGTAGTTTTATACATATATTTACTTCAAAAATCAAAAGAAAAGATAATCGATGGAGCCTTGAGTGTAAAATTGAACGCATTTTCGCTTGATGCCCTCCATCAAAGTGTTTACAGTGTCATCCGGTACCAGTTTCTCAGTTTTTTTTTCCATTTTATTAACATGTCCTTCTCGTCTTTGACTGTCTTCTTGCTCTTCCGAAGTTCCCGCTTCATTATTGCCCAGTACTGCTCCACCGGGCGCAGCTCCGGACAGTTTGGCGGATTCATGTCCTTTGGAACAAAATGGACAGAATTGGCTTCATACCACTCCAGGACACTTTTAGAATAGTGGCATGATGCCAAATCTAGCCAAAATAGCGGAGCTTCGTCGTGCTGCTGCAAGAACGGCAAAAGGCGCTTCTAGAGGCACTCAGATTTGTAGATCTCGCCATTTACTGTGCCATTTGTGACGAAAGGCTCACTCCTCAGTCCGCAAGAGCAGATGGCCTGCCAAATGAGATATTTGGAGGCGAACTTCGACATTTTCTTCTTCTTAAATTTGTCGTCCACATCGAACTTGCTCTTGCCGGTGAAAAACTCCAACCCCGGAATTTGCTTAAAATCGGCTTTTATATACGTTTCGTCGTCCATCACACAGCAGCCATATTTTGTCAGCATCTTCTCGTAGAGCTTCCGTGCCCGAGTTTTAGCCGTTGATTGTTGCCGCTCATCGTGGTTTGGGAAGTTCTGTACCTTGTATGTATGTAGTCCAGCTCTCTTCTTTGCATTCTGGACGTAGCTCTGCGACATGCCGATCTTTTTAGCCAAATCACGGCTTGAGACGTTGGGATTTGCTTTAATCATCCGCTTCACCTTTCCCTCCGTCTTTTTGTTCTCCGGTCCCGGTTTTCTTCCAGCTCCTTTGCCGTGGTCCAACGTCAACCGCTCCTGGAACCGCTTCAACACTCTGGAGACGGTTGAATGGTGAATGTTCAACATTTTTCCCAACTGCTGGTGCGGCAGGTCAGGAAATTCCAGGTGTTTGGAAAGAATTTGTTCTCTCAACTCGCGTTGGTTCACCTCCATTTTCGTTGAATCGAAAAACACGACTTCGAGTTTGACAGCATGTACACAATACACGTCAATTAGAAAGTGTGCAAAATTTGGTTGATTTTTACCCAATGGTAAAAAAGTTATGCCCTGTTGAATGTGTCGCAATAATTTCGTGTTCCCCCTTTAGGTGTGTACTGCGTGATGTACTATGGGAGGCTTCCATGGTAGGCCTCGTACATGAAGCAGCAGATACGACGGTGGTAGTTTTCCGGCAGATCGCATCCGAGTATGGTGTGTCGCACTTCTCTGGTCGTGTCACGCCCTCGGATTCCATACACGAACCTTACCGACGACTTGAAGCATCGATGCAACTGAGCCTTGAGCGTGGTGGACAGTCCTGGGTAGTACACGATGTCGCAGTATGCGAAGAACGGCATCACCACAGCTTGGACGAGCTTCATACGAATCTGTCTGGAAAGCACTCCACGGAAGCGCCTGAACGTACGAAGAGTATTGTAGATCTTTTTGGTGACTTCGTTTATCTGGTCGGTCCATTTTAGGTTAGAGTCCATAATGAGACCAAGGTTGGTTACTTTGTTCGACAAAGTAATGGTTTCATCACAGAAGCGGATGTCATTTTGAGGGATTATGGCCCCATCTCTAAAAAAGACTATAGCTTACGTCTTCTTTGGGTTGGGAGACAGACGATTCTCAGTGGCCCAACGTTCGATAGCGAGGAGATCCTGGTTGATTGCTTCGACGAGCCTGTTAATTTCGTTTGCGGGGCCTGATATGTATATTTGGAGGTCGTCCGCATAGAGGTGATACTCGAATTTTAGCATACCAGGCATAGTTATAGAAAGTATAAGTAGTGATAAGAGGAGAGTGGTTTAAAGTGAAAGTAAGAGTGATACAAAGAAGCTAGGAATAATACAAAGGGTCATTCGAAAAAGAACGTAAAAATAACCTGAAACTACGGTGTGAACAAAACCAGGAGGATGAAAATGCTGGCACTCAATTAAGTGATTAAATGAAACTATCAAGTAGGGTATTTCTCATAAACGAATGTCCTATTCCACATCGATAGATCAATCGGGAAAACCCCGAACACGGGAATCGGATTGAGCTTTTGACTGTACTCTAAGAACGCGTAAGTAGTATTGTACTTTTGAGGTAAAGCTTAATTTTATCTTTCATTGTTCATTAACGTGTTTTGTTTTACCTTACCATGCTACCACACTCTCTTAGAGAAAGTACTTTGCCCGACTGCAAGTAAACGCCGAAAGGTAAATCGCAAGAATGTTCAGAAACAAATGTTTTGAAGCTAACGTAGTTTTTTTTTTCATAAATCGTTTGAAGGCTACTTCAAACGATTTATGGACGAAAGTTATTCGGACCGTTCAAAATGACACCCCTCAGCGAAAAAAAAGTGTGCAATTTGGCCCGTGAGGCGGTTTGAACTCCCCTGAATCGTTCGGCAGCGTAACCTGTGAATAAAATTACCACCAACTGTGAAACTCACGACGGGCAGTCAAGGCACCGCGTGGGAAGAAATCCTCCACTAGACGGTGTGCGCTTGTCAAGTCAGCCGCTGTATAGAAATCTACTCGAATCGGTTTGGATCCAAGCCACATAAGCAATTGCACTTGCCGCCGTTACCAGCGTGGGACGTCGTGGGATAGCCTGAATGTTCCCCTGGAAGGGGGGTTAGACAAGTGAGGTCGAACAATTTTGGTGTAAACTAACCTTAGAATAAGCTTAAGAGTTTATACATAGCAAGAAGAGAAATGAACAAGCGTTTTAAACTATTCGTTTTCGAATTACGCCAAGTAGGACAAAATAAACCGTAAAAATGCAAATGTAATGAATGGCAACTTTCTTTTAAGCCGATTTTAATGAGACGGAATTCACACAAGCTCGCTTTTCCTGGTTCTTCGGGTCGTGTAGAATAGGCTCTGATGTAGGAAAACCTCCAAAGGACACCTATCTACCCTGCAGTTGATGATACTTTCTTTGGTAGGCTTTTATTTCCGTTGTATGGTGTTCATGTTTCAGACTACATATTGTAGGTTGTTGACGAATACTCGCCCTTCGACTCCTACCTCCTAGTATCCCGTTACTGTGTGTTACTCGTATTTACCTCAGAAGAGACAACTGGCTTCTTACTCTTTTATCTCTATCTCTATCTCTATCTTTCCCACTTCAAATCAGCCAATCACGAGCTGGTCCGCGTTTGACAGAAAAGTGGTTCGTTTTCGGTCCCGTATTGTCTTCTCTTCTCTTAGGTATTTACAAAAAAAAAAACGAAGTAGTCTCAGTTTTAGTTTTTCGAAACT